GATTGGCATTTGCATTGGGTTTGTTCTGTCCCTCTCGGTCCATTCCCTTCCACTATCTCCCAGGGGGAATTGGAATTGGAGGTGCCAGGCTGAGTCAGACTTTCCAGCCCTGCCCCAGCTGGAGGGCACTTGGATCCCCAGAGCTGAACTCTATGTCTGCTCTTCTGGCTTATTAGGGGTATTTCTACAGTGTGGAGCACCGGGGTTTTAAAGACATGAACAAATTTTACTATCTGAGTCCATCACCTAAGCACCAAGATGATCTGAATTGCAGTTACTAACCCTCTGTACCTCGGGTGCATATTTTGACCTCCGTCTGTCGCTAAAGGCAAAGGGGTAGGAAGCTCGGCCTGGATTGCTCCCCAATAGTGTCTTTATTATTTCTCATCTTCATTTGTATGGTGGAAGCCTCCAGAGATCCTGCTCCACCTCAGGGCCTGTTGTGCCGGGCCCTTCACAAACACAGTGGCTGTGTCTAGACTGGCAAGTTTTTCTGCAAAAGCAGTTGCTTTTGCGGAAAAACTTGCCAGCTGTCTACACTGGCCTCTTGAATTTCCGCAAGAACACTGACAATCTCATGTAAGAAATCAGTGCTTCTTGCGGAAATACTTTTGCATTCGGGCAAAAGTACTTTTGTGCAAAGCTTTTGTGCAAAAGGGCCAGTGTAGACAGCTGAGATTTATTTTGCACAAAAAAACCCCGATCGCGAAAATGGCGACCGTGCCAATCTAGACACTCTTTTCCGCAAATGCTTTTAACGGAAAATTTTTCCATTAAAAGCATTTGCAGAAAATCATGCCAGTCTAGACGTAGCCAGTAAGAAAAAGAGCCCCTACTCCAAGGAGCAGCACTACAAAAGGGTGGTTTCATAGGGGCCTACGGGGCAGTGCCACAGCTGCAATGCACGGCTTGGGAGAATTTGGATGGGGCTAGTGAAAGGGCCCATTAAGTGGCAGCTGCCCCAGACACACTGCTAGGTCCGGTGCTTGCTTAGCTTTTGTTCCTCTGCTTTAGTGCTCAGAGTGAAAACTGGGCCCAAGCAGCCCCTGGGCACATGACAGTTGGAAGTGAACTAACATCGCCAGGCGGCCTCTTCACACCAGAACCCCTGGAAACCCCTGAGACTAGAGACTGCAGCATGCACTGGTCCCTGACTAAAGTGATTGACGTCCTGGGGCTATGGCCTGTTTGTGTTATCTAACAGAGTGAAACTCTGCTTCAGGCGGGGGGCTGAGAGAAGACTCTTGGCTTCTCCCTCACACGTTGTGAGGGTTTTGGATTGGCTTTTTCCCAGCAGGGCAGGTTCAATGGGAGACCAGCCCCCTGAGACTGACAGGCCCCTGAGGCAGTGGGGAGAAGCCAGTTCTCACAGGCCGCCTGATTGACAGTCAAGCAAGCCAATGAGGAGTCAACAGGTGAGGCTTGTATAGTCTTTTTCCATGTGGTGGGAGCTCCTTTGTCCTAAGCCAAGTTTTATGGAAAAGTGCAGCTACCAAGTGGAGTTGAGTGACACGTGCCCTTTAATCAAATGCCCTCGTGTACCCTGTTGACTCTTTGCCGCCATTATCCAGGGGTTGACTGAAGCATTCACTGAAAGGATCAACAGATGGTACATGAGAGTCTCCTCATTCCTGTTGTTTTCCTTAATAACCAGTTACCTTGAAGAGACCCTTCACAGCTGGCTGACTGGACTGGAAGCACCTTGCCTTGTGGGTGTCACCCAGAAGCAGCCACATTTGAAAGACAGTCGTGTGGGTGCTCTGGCACCGCTATTTTGAAAGACAGACTCAGAGTCAATATTCATAACTCCAGACACAAAAATAAGATGTGCGCACAAACTGGGCAATCATGTTCAGCAAATCAGAACTTTTCCAAGGACACCGCACATGACATGTTCTGTGCATGATGCACCACAACGATCTCATAATCACATCATAATTGTACCACTGGGATGAATCTGGGGTGCAGAGTGTCCTACCCAGATCTAGGCAAACACAATGTGACACCTGCCGGCCATTCCCTGCCCCTGAGTCCTCACCACCCTGAAGCTTTCTTTGGTATTATGTCAGACGTGTTCAAGGGTGACCTGCAACTCCTGGCTTCTCCTCCAACTGGAGTCTTGGGCTACGTCTACACTGCAGGCCTCTTGTGCAAGAACTTTTTGCGGAAGAGATCTTCCGCAAAAAGTTCTTGTGGAAGAGCGCATCCACACCACCATGTGCTTTTGTGCAAGGTATGTGCTTTTGCACAAGTGAGCATCCACACTGCCATGGATGCTATTGCACAAGAAAGCTCTGATGCCCATTCACAGAATGGCCATCAGAGCACCTATTGTCTGTGCCATGGATGCTATTGCGCAAGAAAGCTCTGATGCTCATTCACAGAATGGCCATCAGAGCTCTTGCACAAAAAGACTTATTCCTTATAGAAAGAGGAATAACCCTTGCACAAAAAGCCCGCTCTTCTGATAATCTATTGTACTTTTTCTTGCACAAAAATGCACTTGTTGTGTGGATGCTCCACAAGTTTCTGTGCAAATGTACACATAGGAGTCTGAGCAAAGAGAACAGTAAGTGCCCGAAGACATAATCTGAGCGGGCAATCTGGCAGGGTCTGCTTACTGTAGGGCAGGGGGTGGTGCCAGGTTATTAACTTTCCCTTGATCCTGCCCATCTAGGGCTGCCTCTTACTTGTACGCAGTCATCTTGTCAGGCTACAGAGTTTTCTGCCCAAGCCTTGATGTACAGGGGCACCAGCTGGTCAGGGTTGATATTTAGGGGAGCCATGTAAAAGCTAACTCTCCCCACCCCTCCAATTTTATACCTGAGGTCTACTCACACCTCACATGCTATCCCCACAGGGCATGTCTACACTAGGAAACTATTTTGAAATCGCTAAAATCGATTTAATCCTTCCCAAAATAACAACATTGAAGTAGCACATCCTCACTTTGAGAAAGCCTCAAAATTAGCTAATGTTAGGGTGACCATATTTCCCCATGCGAAATATAGGACACTTAGAGCCCCAGGGAGCACTGGGACACCGGAGCGGGGGGATGCACTACCTCAGACCTAGAGCCCCAGAAAGCACTAGGGGTCATTACTTCAAGGCTACGCCTAGATTGCATTCTTCTCCTGAAAGAGGAAGGCAAATGAAGGACCTTGAAAATGCAAATTAACAAATCTCGCACTTCATTTGCATAATCGCATCAGAGCGCTTTTTTGAAAAAGGGGTTTTCAAAAAAATGCAGTCTAGGTGGGCTCTTCTTTTTGAAAAAGGGGTTTTCAAAAAAATGCAGTCCAGATGGGCTCTTCTGGGGAAAAAAACTTTTTTGAAAGAACCCTTACTCCTGAAAAAATGAGGTTTAAAGGTTCTTTCATTAAAGGGTTTTGTTTTGTTTTTTTCAAAAGAACCCCGTTTAGACTGCATGGGTTTTTTTGAAACCCCTTTTTCGAAAAAGCACTCAGATGCGATTATGCAGATGAAGCACAATAATTGTAAATTTGCAATCTTTCGAGAGAGGAATGCAGTCTCGACATAACCCAAATAACTCTGGGGAGTTGTTATTTCAAATAGCGGTGCCAGAGCACCCACACTACTGCTATTTCAAAATACCCATTTTGAAATTAGCGTTGTTCCCTGAGGAGAACAGGAGGACCGATTTCGAAAGAAGCGACTCCTTATTTTGAAATAACAGGCTTGATAGAGTGGGCGCTCTGCTTATAAATTGGACCTAAGGGGGCTTCTTTCGAAATAAAGTCCTCATAAAGAGAGGAATAGGAAGTTAAACACAAAAAAGACTGGCCATTAAAATAAAAAAGGAGTCATTAGATGAGCCAGAAACCATTGCCAGGCACTCCACTGATGAGATGGGAAGCAAAGAGTAGGAACTAAGGCTGAGAATGGAGAGATGTAAATAATTGTGTCCACAAGGGCTCCTTCCTGGAACAGGTGTTAAACTGCAAAGTGCCTTATTTTCTCCCACTGACAAAGCACACGTAGGTCATGAAAGGAATTGATAGCTGCTTGAAAGTCCCATCAGTGAGTCGGGAAAAAGTGTCCGGCACCACGTTCCCAGCAACCTCTGCATATTGATCGCTCTGGGGCACGTCTACTTTATACCGTGATTTCGAAATAACAAGTCGTGGGTCCACACAGCAAGCCCGTTATTTCAAAATTATTTTGAAACAAGGGCTTCTTATTTTGAAATAACAAACCCTCACTTCACTAGGAATAATGCTTATTTTAAAATTGCTATTTCGAAATAGCGATAGTGAGGATTCCTCACCGCTGCTAATTCAAAATAGCTGCTTCCCTGGGCCGTAGAAAGCAATTACACCCCAGTGCTTCATGGGGTTCTAAATCAAGGATGCATGTCCACATTAGGGGAGCCTGCCTCGGACTGAATTCAAGGCTTCCCTATGGTGTGGAAATGCAATTTTGAAATAATTATTTCACGAGTTATTGTTCCTTGAAATTTCCTTGTAGTTTAGACACACCCAGAGACACAAAGCAACAGGAGGTCTATAAAATCATGAGTAGTGTGGAGAGGGCCGATAAAGAAAAGTTATTTATTAGTTCCCTAAATAGAAGAACTAGAGGACACCAAATGAAATTAATGGGTAGCAGGTTTAAAACTAATAAAAGAAAGTTCTTCTTCACACAGCATGTAGTCAACCTGTGGAACTCCTTGCCAGATGAGACTGTGAAGGCTAGGACTATAATAGAGTTTAAAGAGAAGCTAGAAAATTTCATGGAGGTTAGGTCCATAAAAGGCTATTAGCCAGGGGATAAAATGGTGTCCTTGGCCTTTGTTTGTCAGAGGCTGGAGAGGGATGGCTGGAGACAAATCGCTTGATCATTGTCTTCGGTCCACCCTCTCTGGGGCACCTGGTGCTGGCCACTATCGGTAGACAGGATACTGGGCTAGATGGACCTTTGGTCTGACCCAGTACGGCTGTTCTTATGTTCTTATATTCTTATGTTTTTAGGAGAAAACTTTAGGTCCCTTTGTGAGGGAAGAGACGGAGCAGCCTGTCCCGGATCTGTTTGCTCCTCACCCCGTAGATGATGGGGTTCAGCATGGGGGGCACCAGAAGGTACACATTGGCGAGGAGAATGTGGAAATTCAGGGGGATATTGTGCCCAAACCTGTGTGTGAAAAATGAGAAAAGAGCAGGGACATAAAAAGATAAAATGGCACAGAGGTGGGACCCACAGGTCCCAAAAGTCTTGAGCCGGGCGTCCTTGGTGGGAAGGTTGAAGATGGCCCTGAGGATTAAAAAATAGGACACAGTAATAAAGATGATATCCAGTCCCAACACAGAGAAAATTAAAAAGAGCGCGTAGTAACTACTGAGGCGTATGTCAGCACAGGCCATCTTTACCACGCCGATGTGCTCGCAGTAAGAGTGGGGGATGATGTTGGTTCGGCAGTATGGCCACCTCTTCGCCAGAATGGGGTAAGGAAGCACGATCGTGCAACCACGCAGCATCACTGCCAAACCAATTCTGGCCACTACAGAGTTTGCCAGGGCAGTGGAATGTCTCAGGGGGTGGCAGATGGCCACGTAGCGATCCAACGCCATGGCCGAAAAGATCCCTGATTCTATCGCCGAGAAGCTGTGAATGAAGTACATCTGCATGAGGCATCCATTGAAAGGGATCTCCCTGGAATTGAACCAGAAGATTGCCAACATTTTGGGCAGGATGGACGTGGAGAGGACCATGTCGGTGACAGCCAGCATGCAGAGGAAATAGTACATGGGCACATGGAGGCTCAGCTCCCTCTTCACAATGAAGAGGATGGTGATGTTGCCCAAAACGGCTATGGCGTAAATGATGCAGAAGGGGATGGAGATCCATGTATGGGCCGTCTCCAGGCCGGGAATGCCCAGCAGGATGAAGGTGGAGGGGTTGGTGAAGTCGGTTGTGTTGGAATCTGACATGGAGCGGGGGAGAAGATCTCCAACTCTGAGGCAGAACAGTGTCTTCTACATCTACCGTATGTACCCCTGATTTTCTGTGCGTATGCAGAATCTACAGCGATGGCCGCAGTAGAAATGCAGAAATGCCTGAATGGAGAGACAATGTTAATATGAGATTCTACATACACTACTGGACGCTGTTTTAATGAGTAAAACAAACTGGTCTGTCTTGATGCCCTGAAAAATCACATTTTTATTTTTCAGAGAAGTGAAACATGAAGGCAAATCCTTCACATCACAGCTTTAAAAACCTTAAGACTGTGGATTCTGGTTATCCCTCATTGGCCCTTAAAGCAGAGCTACTCAACTTTGGAAGACCCGAGGACCACAATGATACTCACAGCACATGCCGAGGGCCGCAATTTAGGTGTGGTTGCATACTAATAAATATGCAAATATATGCAAATAGCTTCTGTCACACTGATGAGCATGAATACAAAGATTAAGGCAAGACTACACAACACACAGGCCCCATTTAAGTCAGTTCTGCTGATATTAATAAAATGCAATATCTACCCGATTTCTACCCATATGACATCATTTTAATGAGCAATGACAGCCCAGGAATTTAACTACTAAAACACACATCAGCAGAAGACTGTCATGTTGGCTACTTTTTTGTTTTAGCCTGCGGGCCACAAACAAACGGGCTGGGGGCAACATGTTGAGTAGCTTTGCCTTAAAGCAATGAATCATAGAATCATAAGAACATAAGAACGGCCAGACTGGGTGAGACCAACAATCCATCTAGCCCAGTATCCTGTCTGCCGACAGTGGCCAATACCAGATGTCCCAGAGGGAGAGAACACAACAGGTAATCATCATGTGATCCTTCCCAGCACCATTTCCAGACATAGAACACTATCAATGAATCATAGAACACTAGGCCTGGAAGCGACCTTGAGAGGTCATCAAGTCCAGTCTCCTACCCTCATGGCAAGATAGCACCATCTAGACCCTCCCTGACAAGTGTTTGTCAAACCTGCCCTTAAATAACTCCAACAATGCAGACTCCACAACCTCCCTCAGGCTACAAAGTCAGTGCTGTGGGGAGAGTCCCAAGCACCTAGGCTGTGTCTAGACTACATGCCTCTGTCGTTAGAGGCATGTAGATTAGACACATAGGCAAAGGCAAATGAAGCCGCGATTTCATAGAATCATAGGACTGGAAGGGACCTCGAGAGGTCATCGAGTCCAGCCCCCCGCCCTCAAGGCAGGACAAAGCTCCACCTACACCATCCCTGACAGATGTCTATCTAACCGGTTCTTAAATATTTCCAGAGAGGGAGATTCCACCACCTCCCTTGGCAATTTATTCCAATATTTGACCACCCTGACAGTTAGGAATTTTTTCCTAATGTCCAATCTAAACCTCCCCTGCTGCACTTTAAGCCCATTACTCCTTGTCCTGTCCTCAGAAACCAAGAGGAACAAATTTTCACCTTCCTCCTTGTGACACCCTTTTAGATATTTGAAAACCACTATCATGTCCCCCCTTAATCTTCTTTTTTCCAAACTAAACAAGCCCAGTTCATGAAGCCTGGCTTCATAGGCTTCTCTAGACCTTTAATCATTCTTGTCACTCTTCTCTGTACCCTTTCCAATTTCTCCACATCTTTCTTGAAATGTGGCGCCCAGAACTGGACACAGTACTCCAGCTGAGGCCTAACTAGTGCAGAGTAGAGCGGCAGAATGACTTCACGAGTTTTGCTTACAACACACCTGTTGATACAACCTAGAATCATATTTGCTTTTTTTGCAACAGCATCACACTGTTGACTCATATTCAACTTGTGGTCCACTATGACCCCTAGATCCCTTTCCGCCATGCTCCTTCCTAGACAGTCGCTTCCCATCTTGTATGTATGCGATCATTTAAATCGCGGCTTCATTTGCCTTTGCCTATGTGTCTAATCTACATGCCTCTGACGACAGAGGCATGTAGTCTAGACACAGCCCTAATGACTCAAATCCCACCTTTGCCGGGACATGTGCTGGGGGAAATCCCAACTGGAACATCCCTGTGGTTAAAGATGTGCTCATCTCCAAGACTCCATTTGAATGGGGGAGGCTCTCTAATGCAGACAGAATGAAATATCTGGGACTGTGGAGTTGAGAGGAGAGAAAGAAGGGGTATGTGAAAGAGAAGAACAAAATAAAGAAAAAGATCTGGTTGAGGTTGAGGTTGGACATTAGGAAAAACATCCTCCCTGTCAGGGTTGCTAAACACTGGAATAAGTTGCCTAGGGAGGTTGTGGAATCTCCATCGCTGGAGATATTGAAGAGCAGGTTGGACAGACACCTGTCAGGGATACTCTAGATGGGGCTTGGTCCTGCTGTGAGAGCAGGGGACTGGACTCGATGACCTATCAAGGTCCTTTCCAGTTCTACAATGTATGAGTCTATCTATTCTAATGGACAAACAGAGAGCAGTTCCCAACCAGCAATACCTGCAGCAATTTAGGGCTTCAAAAGGGCTATTTCCCCAATGCTGAGGTAAATTATCAACAAAACTGATTGCGAGGAAAATGTAGATAGAGAAATGTGAATAAAAATTGGGTGTTTTTTAAGAAGAGTTGATCAGATTGCTAAAAATCCTCAATTCTACAGTCAAGAAAATTCTAGCTTTGTCGAAAAATCTGGTTCAGTGGCAGAGTGAAGGCAGCAATAAAGCAGAGGGAGGGGGAAGAAGCAATATATCTGACAAATGAGACAGAAGGAAAATAGGGTACGTCTACACTACAACGTTAATTCGAACTAACTTAGTTCGAATTAGTTAATTTGAACTAAGCTAATTCGAACTAACGCATCCAGACTAAAAATTTAGTTTGAATTAGCATTTTGCTAATTCGAACTAGCATGTCCACATTGAGTGGACCCTGAACCGAGGTTAAGGATGGCTGGAAGCAGTGCCGGCAGGGCATCAGATTAGGACTTAGAGCGTGGAGCTTCTGTCACAAGCTAGCTGAGGTCTGTGCTTAAAGGGACCCGACCCCCAACCCGGACAGACAGTTCTCAGGGGTTCCCCGCTCGCTTGCAGTCCTGGCCTGGAGTGCCCTGAGTGCCCACACTTGGCACAGCACAGCACTCGGCCATCAGCCCGGCTGCACTTGCTGCAGGCTGCCTTCCAGGGGGGGGGGTCAATCAGGGGGCTGGAGG